GATGCCAAAATCCACAATACTGCTTGGAGATGACCCTTTTAACCTTGACCCAGAGGCATTTGAGAGGGCTTCTATGGTCACTGTAGTTGAGTTCTGTACATTTGAGGTTCTCCTTAACTTAAAGTGCAATTCCCCTTCCTTCCTTCCCTGACTCTCTTTACAAAGCAGCCTATCCATCATATTCCTCCAGTCACGGGAGTTGTCCTACCATGTTTCAGTTACTCCTGTGATACCCTAACTTTCAGACTGGGTGTCGAGTTCCTAGTGTTTATTCTCCTGGCTCCGAGTATTTGTCTAAATGCACATGAAGTGCCAGGTCTTGCTCTTGTCGTGGGAGGCAACGAAGGAAAAGTTGTCACTGCTCTTATTGGCCTGGCTTATTTCCCAGTTGGCTGCAATGGCAACCACACAAAACCACCACTTAAACAGTTCTGCCCACCAGATTCCTTTCACATCTTTAGAGAAAAGTCACTATAGAGAATTCAGTTTGCCTAACCTCTCCACGCCTTGGATTGCACTCGCTACAACTGAGGTATTTTGGCTGACCTGAGGCATCAACTGGACAGCTGTTGTTTTCCAGAAGACAGCAGTCTGATGTTTAAGCACGAGTATGGTATTTACATTAATGCACGTGAGGCTGCATTACTCAGTCATATGAGGTTATGACTTCAGCCTCTTAATACTTCTGAAAAAGCAAGTGAAAGTATGTTTAAGCTTTATGTACTATATATGTTATAAATTTTCCTAAGGCAGATATCACACACTGACATTTTAAGACCTTAATTAAGGTTGATTTATTTACAAATGGTATGTTTTCAGCTCTCAGAAATGATGTATTTAATGTTTTATTTTTAAACACAATTAAAAAATAATATATAAATATATACATACTGCAAATGTAATACAGATAACAAATTCATTTAAGCCCATTTATGCACATTAGTGACACACCATGTGGCAGAAAGACTAGGACTACAAGAAGACCCCGTGGCGATTTATTTTATATTAAATCCCTAATGGCCTCTTCTCATCTTTACAAAAATATGCACAAAAGTCCAGACTATGCAGCCATTGAAATGAATGGTTATTTATTTGCTAAACGAGAACCCTATGTTTAATGTTCCTTAGACATAAGGTAGTCTGCAAAAGTCGCATTCCTACAGCTCTATACATCATTTATTTTACATACCCTAACTTCTCACAACAGGCATCAGAAAAATACTTTTGAACCACATTGCTATTGTAAGTTGCTGAGAATTTTGTTTCCGATTCCATTACTGGAAGATTAAATGTTAACATGTTTATTTGAGGTTTGCTTCTTGTTTTGTCTTTTGCATTAAAAACAAATTCATGGACCAATCTGCCATTTAAAATACATTTATATTTATACCAAGAGAAAAAGGTTCCCAAATACACAATATATCTACATAATCATTATAGATAGACAACAGAAGTTCAAATCTTGAAAGATATACATTGTAATCTCACTTATTTGGTTGTAATGGTCTACGTAGTACTTGTTTGATGTGCTTCAGCTAAGACAGAGATCCTTGATTTGCTTTACAGAAGTATTAACAACATCACTTTTCAAAACACAGAAATAAAATTGTCCAAATTATGAGACAGTGGCATTTCTTACTAATACTACAAAATACCTTTAAAATTAAGATCTATCTCCAAGATAACACTATTTTTTTCATAGGAAGATGATAAACCGTGCACCCAAACACTTCTACATTTCTTAAATTTCTGTTGCTGGAACTGCCACTGTAAGTTCTTCTGAGGCATAAAGCCACAAATGGCGAAGTTGTTACAAGAAACAGAACTTCCTATTGGTACTATCCCAAACTCATTTGGACTATGAAGGCTACCTAAGGACAGTCAAGATTCCTGCAGCAGCATCAACGTGCAGGTCACTTTCTTGAGGAAACAACACTGGCGACAGCAGCCTCCACTGCAGCTCTGATGTGTTCTCTGAGCTTTTACAAATGGCATACAACCCCTACTACTTGGAAACTGTCTTCATGAAGTATGTGGATGCCATGGCCAGAGGCATGAACCTCAACAGACCTTCAGAACACCATCTTGTCTGCCACAGTCAGTAGCAGACAACCACAGAACTTGTTTTCAACTGACTGACCTGCTTCCTCAGGTGGTAACTGATTTTCTATAATTTTAAGTTCTGTGAGCAGTTAGAATGAATTTTCATGAACGAACAGATAAAAGACTTAGTCCAACAAGCATATTATTAATCTATGTTATAATGAGCCATTTCAACTGAGCTGAACATTCATGAAACCTGGACTGTTCTCCCAGTGCACTACACTTAAAAAAGCAGAGAACAGAGTTCGCCTTACAACAGACGTATTCATTTCTCAGGAGTAATATTACTTTCCCAGAAAGCCACGTTGAGAAAAAATTTCTCATTTGCAAGAGAATTCCAGCAGAGAAGCAGCAAAAGATACTCTAAGGGTAACCAAAATGTAACAGAAATTAACTGTAACACATGCATTGAATTTTGCTACAATATCTTAGGAGTAATCTTTATTAGGACTTGGAGAAATTTTCCAGCAAAGGCTACAAAAATAACTGTGATCTGGGCAGTGTCGCTTTTATTTTGTCCTTCACATCAAAAATAAAGTGGTTACGTATGTAAAATTCAAGCAGCATACACTCTGAAGCGGGTCACTGGTGACACAGGTCTGATTTCAACTTACAGCTTTAATGCCACCTAAATCCAGGAGGGCCAGATCCAAAGATCTTAACGAATGCAAAAGCTGTGTGTGGACTCTTAGAGAAACCTAAACACATTCACACAAAATGACTGCCCGACAGAAAGCACTTTATTGGAAGATACTTTTGCATATTTGTTGATTATTAAGGAAAAAGAGTGACCTTGTGATACTTCTGAAAAAGCAAACACACAAACACACCAGAGATTCAACACCTGTTGCCAAGCCTGTTCTTCATATTTCCTTAATACTTAATCAGGTAACATCTGTGGAGCACTTTAAGGATGAATAACGAACTACCACTATCATTGCTGAGAAAACTGAGAATTCATTCAAGTCCGTGTATTCTGAGTTCATAATAGAATTCTAAACTGAACAGAAAGGTCTGGACAGTTTTATCATTCATTTTCTTATATGTATTGTGCTTCTGGCACAGGGTGAAGTAACTACATGTGATCTCTATCACTAATAAAACTGAGTAAAAAAACATCTTTTGCTGGCCAAGCACCAAAAATTAGGGTGTTTTCATTTCAACAAAGAGCAATAATGTAGCAAATGTAAAATGCATCTCCATCCCAATAACTTTACAAACACTACACCTAGGGAAAAAAAAGCAGTTACGCCCCTGAAAACTTAGTCCTTTATGGCACAAACTATTCACAGTACAACAACAGAGCTAAAAGCAAAGGAAGACACCTGCGACTTCCAGAAAGAAATCCCATCAGAAATACTAGTAATAAAATTACTTAACAGACTGGGACTAAAAATCACCTAACATCAGTAAAATCTGTTCAGTTTGTTCTTACAGGCAAATGAACCTCTTCTGCCCTCCACAATGACCACTAGCTATGAAAGAAAAACAACTATGAAACATTTACTGCTTGACCACCAGATCTTAACACTTCTTGGCCAAGGTAAGTCAGCATCACATGTTACACTGCACTGAAAAAAGGTTGAAAATTTGCCTGCTTTGAGAACTAGGATCACCTCAACAAAGTCAAACTGTGAGATCCAGCCAAAAGGAAGTTCTCAGTTACAATTAATTTGAGCATATAGAGTTGCAAAGATGAGGTCAGAACAGATTTACCTGGAGCTTAAACCTGTGGAGTGCAAGGTCTGTACTCTTCATAGTTATCAAACATGATATAATGCAAAATAAACAAAAAGAAAATGTAATGCTAAAGCTAGCTCCTAGCTCTGTCCACCATTAACTGAAACTGACTGCATAAAAGAGAAAGATTTAAAACAAAAGAAGATGAGGATTTTATTAAGAACTTTATAAAATCCCATTCTCTCTTTTGGGGATTTATCTTACAACACTCTTTCCCCATGCCCTTTCTGCCCAGCCTCAGCCTAATTTTTAGGATCAAATTATGGTTCATAAAGCAGTGCTGTTTTGGTGGCAAAGATTGCTTAATATTGGAACAACTAATCGAAAACTAACAGATTCTACTTCATTTCTTGAAGCTTTGCTACATAATTTGCTTTCTATATTTTAGTATGCAACCAGAAATCTATGGGTAATTATAAGCTAGATTGTAACCAAAACTTGTTCAACCACAGAAGCATCTTATTTTTTGTAAAATGAATCACAAGACACATATTATAAAAAATCTCTTGGGACACACAAGGCAAGAACTATTCAAGAGACTTAATTTTTTTTAGCAGCATTTTATGTAAAAAAAAAAATTTGATTTAGTGCAAAAGTATATGAAAATTTCTTCTACATTTCAAATACTTCTGTATACGTGACTTTCATGCAAATGAAGAGACTGAAAATTACAGATATATACTATATAAAGATGTTTCTGCTATTGATATTTTCTTCAGATCACTTAGGTTTTATTACTAATCAATATGCCAGTATGCAAACTTCAATCAGAAACAATGGTATCATGTTATACTTGTTCAGTGATCTAAGCATTCCTATTTTTAAAATAATATTTTTACATAATAATCAGCAACATGTAACTCTCTACAGATCAAGGAGGAAAGCTCATACCTTCAATTCACCCAAAGTTTCCAAATTGTTTATGCCATTGTTTTTAACACACCATACCACAAACCAAAGGGAGCAAATAATTATAATATCATAATAATGGAAGTCAGATAACAAATAGCTACTACTTCTCTCAAAGTTAATTAAATCACTGAAAATTCTGCTCATACCGGAAAAAGTATTGGGAAAATAACTCGCTCACATTCTGTTTTAAAGAACTATCTCCATATGCAATAAGGCTGTTAAACATGTTTTAAGTTTCCTCTTACCTCCAGTGTCACGTACACAGTGCTAATCGCTACTTTGATTTCTCCATCTGAAATCTCCTTGAGATCCTTGAGCATAACCTCCTCAATGCTCACAGCTGTTTAAGAAAATAAACACATTTCCATGTATACAATTATCTACAGCTGATAGATGCACGAACATAAATTAAAAACACAGCTTAGACCTTAATGCTGAACCTTCTTTCGGTATTTCAGGATGTCATATGAGAAAATTAAAGATAACATTAATATTTAAATGCTTAATGTTTCTAGAGGGATTTTTTTAAGGAAGGAAGAGATTTAACGGAGGATACACACTAACAACAAGTATGAAGAATTAAGTCTACTGCAACACCTGGGTTCCTGTGTGAACACTGAAGTTTTTAAGTGAACATAATTCCAGCTGATGATAAATGTATAGCTAGGCAATTTCTGTGGCCTAATATGAAATCACAAATATAAAATTACTTCTGAAATAATTAATGTATTGGAAAGCACCTGTGGACTACTATGGTGTTTATGAAATACTCAAAAGCAAGGAACTTAACACAGTCATTCAACCTTTCTGACCTTCTTCACAAATTGATAACACCAATGGGTTTTTCTTATGTACATCAAATCATTAATGAACTAAGTACATGTTCACCATAGAAACATTATCAACAGAAAAAAATGGTGTAAAACAGGAATTGCAACCAGACATATTGGTATGTTTAAGCCAAATGTTTTGAAAGTTCAAGTGACTAAGTTTCCCTCATCAGACGTGTTTGCCTAACATGTTGCAAAGATTCTCAAAGATTCTCAAAACAAATACATATTATGTAAAAGAACATAACTGCATCACATGATTGCAAGACAGACACAATAGCCAAATATCTATGTAAAGAATGCTGCAAGCCAGCTATCTCGGTGCAGGGCAACAACTAAAACGTCCACCACCCTTTAAGGCATAGCAGTTTAACATCCACCATGTGTTTGTACAAATGATTTTCAAGAGGGAAACAAATACCAACCTCAGTCAAAGAAATTAATCCTTTCATTACTGTTCCTATACAGAGTCCAGTTACTGCAGTCAATCTAATGACAAGATGAACATTTACACATCTGTCATTTAAAAAATTTTGTATATAACCTATAAACTTTCTGGGGAGCTGCAACCCATTGTGCCTTAAATAACGAATTAATTCAGGCCAATAAATCATTATTTCTGCCAGAAACTGAGAAATATTTTGGCTGCATGCCCTAATATTGCCTCAAATGAGGAGTGCATTAGGTAAAATATTCAGTAGAGGTTACATCCTTCAAGGAGCTCCTGAAACTCAGCAGCATCCTACTAAAAGAAATGTCATATGCAGTATATGTATATGTTATACAGTAAATATGTGTCTTGTAATACACAGAAAACAGGAGTCATAAGCCAAAAAAAAAAAAAAGAGTGCGCGACAGTGCCCTCCCTATGTCTCATGTGACACTCATAAATTACTGGCAACCAGCACCATGCAGACTACACCCACTACATCTACTCATCCAAATTTTACATTCAATATTACAGAAAACTTCATGACAAACAGTACTAAACCGTTTTCCCTGGCAACTGGCAGAACTAAGAACTGACTTCCATCAAAGCTACTTTAACTGCCACTTTCCAATCTAGACTGCATACAGTTCATTCCTGAACTGTACTGATTACTTGAGTAGAGGAACTTAACAGAATTCATGTGAAATTTTATAGACCTGAACTTAATTACTCTGTAATGTTACTGACAGAAAAGGCAAAAGAAGAAGCTCCTCAAATTCTGTCCTTATCTACCAGACAGGGCAGCTGTCTCAGGCTGATGGTCTGAATTTCAATGACTACTTTCTGCACATGGGGAGATAGAGAACAGATAAAGACCCTGAGTCTGCATGGACCCTCTGCTTACCTGATATATCTAACAGAGAAATACTAGGAATTTGGTAGTAAATTCCTGTACAAGAAAGTACCGGGAATTTAGTGCTCCCTCTTTGGTAAGAACTTGGCAGCAGATGCCGGTAAAAATTGTAAGAGTTATTGCAACAATTTTCTTCAGGCTTCCACAGCAGCTCTTCAAAGGCCTGCTACTAAATTTTGGGTTCAAACATTGCCACTTTACATCACTGAATATTTCTACTCGGTATTTCTGTCAGAAGAAAGGAAAAGAATTGCAACTTTCCTGCTGCTTCCTTAATCTGAGTCTGATGTCAAATGATTTCACCTGTACACAGCTCTTAGTAAATCTGAGTCATAATACAAAATCTACTTCCACACAACACAGGCAATTGCAATACAATTTCTGCCCATGGGCTGACACATTTTTATGTCCACGTGAATCAACATAAATTCTTGATGAACATACACTTGTAAAAGCAATACATAAAATAAATTGTTAACTTTATCTGTAAAAACAATACAAGATTATTTATGAGCTAAGTAGTTCCTCAAAAGAAATCACAATTCCATGATTTAGAATGGAAGCAACTTAATTTGAAACATACAACACTTAGCTGTCAATGAAGATAGCATGTTGCACCTATTTTGATCACATACAATGAAACAGTATTCTGATACAATTACACAAACAAATTTGTAACAGGTCTGAAAAATGGAAGGAAGTTGCACTACCTTGGGTGTTAAACTGAGTCTCCTGGAGAACAGAGATAATTTCCTCTCTTGGTGGAAGATCTGGAAACTTTTCCTCCAAAACTGACAGTACTTTCTCCTGGTGCTCTGTCATTCTGTCAGCTTCCAAAGACATGCACTTGAAGAGAATGCTCCCTGAAACATTGAAAGACAAAAAATCAATGTCTTCTGTAGATATCAAAGAGGTACCACAGAAACAAGAAATTTTACTGTATTGCTTCTTGGAGGTTCCTTCTTGGAGGTTGTTTCCACTGAGAGTTCACTGAGACTTCCACATGGAAACATCTTCCTAACATGAAGCTCCTAAATCAGAACTGACTGCCTCTTCAGTACCTCTGCTACAGCTAACTGGCTGGTCCCAGTGCTGCCACACTGTGCAGCATGCTTCTGTACACTAACACGGCTGTGCGGCACAGCCAGCAGCAGCCAACAGCATGCCAGCCTATACTCTCCTCTTTCCAGGCATTAGACCAAGTGCTGCTGTGTTTTGAAACATAAATCCACATTGTCAACCTTCCTTCTACAGATGTGTCATTGAACTCCTACAATGGAGTTCATAAGGAGGACAAAAGGAAGAAATGCTTTACTGTGAGGATGGTGAGCCACAGAACAGGCTGCCCAGAGAATATGGGGATGCCCCATCCCTGGAAGTGTTCAAGGCCACGTTGGACCAGGCTCTGAGCAGCCTGGACTAGAGAAAGGTATGCCCATTCATGGCAGTGGTGTTTGAATTGAATGATCTTAAAGTCATTGGTCATCGTGGTGTAACTAACTCTGGATAATTCTTGTCAACAGACACACCAAAAAACACCAATTCAGACAACCAAAATTTTAAAATTTAAGAGAAACATCACTCAGAAAATAACTTCATAGTGATTGGAGCTGTCTTACAATACAGAAGTGAGAGTCATGTCTTTTCAGACGTGTGTGCTGCACACTAAGTCACCCCTTTCATTCCCTGGAGACTGGGATTCCATTTATCAATATACCCAAAGACAGTGTTTGCTTCCAATCACTCACAGTAAATTCAAGATAATAAAATCTTATACTTCAGCCTTGAAATAATTTATTACTTTATTATTCATTATTATTATTATTATTATTACTGTGCACAAGAATTTCAAACAAGTTTATGATTTCATTGCATCATGCTGGGTCAATGAGCCACGAAGTACAGTAAGTGAGTAAGACAGTTACTGCAAAACAAAGTGTGTAGGCTTTAGCACAGAGCAAAAAAGTGCAAATGAAAAACCTTGACACTGCCACCCTCAATCTCACCAGATGAGATAGGATCCAAGTATCTATTATATCTTCATTTTCCTTCTCTCCTACAATATCATCATATGAAATAACAAGTAGCATTTCTTCAAAATCCACAAACCACTTGCAACAAAAAATAATTGTGCCATGCTAAGTAAACACACCCTTACTAAACAAATCCTGTGTGGATTAAACAATAAATAATGCTTAACAAGCCAAAAGCAGCTCCCCATCAGATACTAATTTCTGGAATTAAATACAAATACATGAAGTTCCATTCTGTGTTTCTATTACAGATATTGTAACTGCCAATATTCTTTTAATTCGGAGCAGCTCTTTATGTTAGTCTTTCAATCAATTTAAGACAATGCTCCTGGTCTGTGTGATAACATTAAAAAAAAAATAAATACAGACTGCATGAAAATCACTATACTGATCCAGATTGATATTTCTAAATCTAGGTACACAATGTAACAAGCAGATTTTAGACTTCTGCAGGTAAATAACTGACATATAAAGTATCCAGATATCCACACCCATTATCAAGGCCAGGTTTTCAGTCCCTCTAACAGGAAGAAAGTTTCTCAACCAGCAGCATCCACAATAATTCATCTAAAAACATCCTTTTGTTGTTCAACTCCATTGCAAATAATAGTGCTTGTGCTACATATATACTCTTGAGATACATTCTAAATCTTCCACTTTTCTAAAAACAGTGGTGACCAGAATGATTGAGACACTCCACAACATGCTTTCTGTCAGCACAGAGCTGCACCTGGATAAATGGCAGCTCAGGGACCAGGCTGCATAAAGTATTTCAGCTATGGCAATTTTCTGATTTTTTTTTCTTCCTCCAGAAACAGAAGGAAATTGCTCATGCACACACAAAGGAAATGAAGACTCCAGCAAAAGTGCTGGATCTCCAACGTGTGCTCAAAGTCATCATACCTACTGGAGCAAGGCTGCATCCCGTAAAGCCCCCCAGTAGTACAGGGATGAGTTAGGCAGTCTGTCCATCTGCACAGCACCTCAGATATACAATGTATGAAACTTTTACCACAGCTATGAGTGCTTCAGGGAATGAATATTTGGGTAAGACCAAGAAGAGAAAACCCTAATACAAACATACAGGAAAATGCATAAGAACAAGTGTGAGTTGTATATCCACCCAAGCTCAGCAGTTTGGAAGTCAACATGATGTAACCTTCATTCACAATAGGCAGACACCTAAGAAAGGTTTCTAAAAGGCTCTGGTTTTGTCACTAGTCACACCAAAACTGAAATGCTTGCAACTGACAACTTTTCTACTACGATGAAAGCCAGAAAAGGATCATTCTCAAATTACTAGGGTGTCAGCAAGCCCCAAGATCAACATTTACTTGTCCTTTAATGCTATGGTCAGTCTTCAATACTCTCCTCATCACCAGGGGTGAAAGGCACACCTCTTCTCCCGTAGGGATCCTCAGCATTCCTGTGAGGGTTAAGACTCCAGGCAGTTTAGAAAAAGAGTTCACTTAAGTTACTTTTGCTTGACCAAAGGTCAGTAGTCCATTTAGTCACGTGCTGTCTTATAAATACCTGCTGTAAAAGCAATACATGGTCTCAGAAATCTCCTGCAGATTTTACTGAGTGTTGGTGCAACTCCCCTAAGGTTTCTGAAAGCATAATGGTGGCTGCTGTCTGCTTACAGAGAAAAAATATAAATAATAGGCAATACAAGATTCAATATTATTTCTTGTGTACATCACACTTTACTACATTTTTTTTTCTGAAGAGGTCACTAGAAAATAGGCTAAGGCTCTTAAAAATGTGCATCTTATTATTTTTTTGCAAAGCAGTTTGGAAGCGAAGCATTAGTTTTGCCAAAAGCAATTGCTGTGCATTAATATTAAACATGATCTAATGAAGGCAGAAGTCGTTTTGGGAAAACATTAAGAACAGCACAAGCATCTCCTGAATTATAAGTTTACGGCTGAGAGACACAGTACAATGAAAATATAAGCATTTCTCCTGTCAAGGTTTTGTTCCATAACCTGTAAAAATAAAGGACAGGAAAAAGGGGAAAACCAACACTCCACTAGGGAAAGTATACTTCAACACTCCTCACACACCTCCGCCCTTCCCCCAAAAAAAACCTGCAAACTAAAACTGTAAATATATCCAATTAAGCAATCTTTACTGTAATTAACAGGAAATGCAATGAAGCTGGAATAAAACATAACCGGGGAAAAGAGAGGAAAAGCACTGCCTCCAAAAAGAACCTGCTTCCATATATTAAAAAGAAGTGTCAGTCTGAGTAAGTGCAGTGTTTGGTGTAGGTCAAAATGTTCCTTTCTTCCAGGTATACATATTAAGGATGCATCAATGCAGGAGCATGTGAACCATCTGATCAATGTACAAGACAGAACAAAAAAAAATACTGGCCTAATTCCCAAAGTCCTTAAAAGGGCATTTCTTAACATTTGTCTGGGTGGCTAAAATAACAAACTAATCTCCTCTACTGAAAGTCAGACTGCCCCAACAGGGCATGAAAAGACCTCAACTATGCAGCTCATCACTAGCAAAAGATTCACATTAAAAAAATTGCTGATGCTCTTGCTGGAAATCTGTCTATATTTACATGTTATGGTTTGCACCTTGTGGCATCCTTCAAGGCTTTATACAAATAAACATAAGGAGGCATTTTTGAGAGTGCATTGACCCAAGATACCTGACAGTGAGTGCTTGGAATAACATCCTTGCCAGCTGGCTGCAACGGAGAATGTAATGATTCAGCAGTTTAATGGATCTTGAGTTTGGCAACAGCCCCCTTATAAACATCTCTTGGGAAATAAAATAATACAGGCCCAGGACTCTGGCAGGTTCTGTAATTGTTTGCTCCTGGCACAAATCCAGGGACAGCACAAGCTCTAACTTCAGGCAAATATGGCTGTACAAGACTGTTTCTCCAAGCAGGCTCTACTCAAAAGCCCAAGGATAGAATTAGCTTGTATAATGTCACATAAGGAAATAAAGATACCAGAAAAGCATACACCTAAAAAAATATGAAATTAATCTTTAAATATAAAAATACCTAAATCAGTAATGCTCAGTTTCACAGGAAATGTCTTTTCTCTTGACTAGTTTTTTTTTAAACATAGACAAGCAGGTAAAGTTTGCTCAAAGGTGAAATTTGCATACATAAACATCTGCCTTTTTATTGGAATTTTAAAACTGCTAACAGACTTTAAGAAAAAAGAAGTTTCAAAAACAGCCAACAAATTAAGCTGACTTGGTCACCACAAGATAATTATTAAACCATGAGATTTTCTTCTATCTTAAAAGTCTCCTAACAAAATACTCACTGGAAAGTCAGAAAATGAAAGAAGGCCTCACAGCTCAGAGACTCAGATAACAGCAACTCTCAGCATTTTTATGAAAATAAAATCCTAATTCTTAGCATTTCTAACTTTTACTTTGGCCTTTGAACTTCACCTGAAATTTCGACAAACTAACCCTATACAAATTTACATTGGAAGTAACATAGCAAAACGTGAAAAGCACAACAGAGCCTTTTTGCAGCCTCTGTACCTGTCCCTGCGCTGCTGGGAAAAGTAGAAAAGCACCAAGTCTCAAGTGCAATTGTGTTTTGTTCCCTAGGCTTTGCCAGTCACTTCTCATACAATGCAAAAGAAGGTATGCAGAGACTTTTTATCCACTAATTCCTAAAATTTGTTCTACCAAATGTAATTACTCGTTGATTAAAAAAAATTAAAATCAGCTACTATATTCCCCAAAACTGTAAGTGCTATCTATAATGCAAACACTAACAAAAGCACTTTATTTTAATCTGCATACATATTAGAGGCACAAATCACGCTGACGCATCCACATACAGTACTCGAACATGTTCCTGAACATTATTCAGACCTCTCCCTCTGACTCTCCACCAACAAACAAGTATCCCACAAAACCCTTTTTCTGTTCTGCCTCCAAAACCAATTATTATGCTTGGTCATTTGCTTAGATTCCTGGAGAGCTACTCAACAGAAATTTGGAGCTTACAAAAACGTTTCATGGCAGGCTAACTAAAGCTCAGTTACATGTTAGCATGGAAAGATACTGTAAAGGCAGGCTAAATGCTGTGCTATTGTTAATGCTTATTCTGTGGAATCTTTAAAAAAATTAATCTTTTTGATTTCTTATAACATGTTTATTAGTTATTACAGCGATGAGTACAATGATTTGCCAAGATTCTCATTGCTTCTGAAATCTAAATGTAGACAAGTTTTCATAATCCTCATTAAACATGCCCACATTAATTTCTTAAAAGGACATTTAGCAGTTTCACATCATTAAAACTGAAAACCTATAAAATTCCTTGAACATTATTAAAACACAATAATTAACTTAAAAGCAGTGACTGTTCTTTTCAACACCAGTTTTATTTCCAACTGGAAAGTTCTGTGCAGCAAATAAACCAAGGAAATTAATACAAATTATGAACTTCCAAAACAGAGAAGAAAATACTTCTGATTGTTGAAGCCCACCCCCAGTTTGTACTCTCCTGGGCATACACTACAAATGAAATGGAGAGCACAATGAAGATTTGGTAATACTGTTTTTAAACAGCAAAAGTTTTGCATCACGCCATTAAAATATCATTCCATAAAAAAGTACAACCATTGGGAGGGAGAAGCTTTAACTTGTAAATATTAGATTCCAATCCATATTGTTGTCCACAGTGCCCCTGGAATCAACGAACTGCACAGCTTTTCCAGCTACCCAGCTGGTATGTCGACAGCTTCATTTAATATTCTTGTCTAGTGATACAGCAAAGACCTCTCATGCCTATTTTTAAATGCACATTTTTAATATTCAATATAATGTTACTCTTTAACAAACTCTTTACTCCCTGCTTCTTTTATGAAGCTTCCTGTGGTCTTTAAAGGGATTGTTAACCAAAGAATGGATCACACTCTTTCTGCATGAGCAAATCCAGAAACACTCCATTAAACCTTTCAGTATTTAATATAAAGAGTAATCTCTCACCTCTGAGGAGATAAGCCAGTTGCTGAGTGATTAACTCTGGTGCCTTTTGAAGAATCTCTTTTACGACTAAAGAGGAAGAACATGCTTGTAACTCCAGGCTCCTGTCACATTGCTCATCTGGATTGATGACTTTGACAACAGCTGATTCCAAACTTTTATCCTCACTATCAAGCAAATTTAGAAGTTACACATATATTTATATTTACAGCTACATAGACAATTCAGTAAGAAAGTGCAACATTTTTTTTTTATTCTGGACTACAGCAGCATTGTTATAGCTACCTGAAATCTGCTATAAAGCCAAAGGATGTCACAGAGGTCCTAAATCCATGAATCTTAAATTAAGTGTTCAGAGTTCTTTAACTGCTTGATACATCACTAACTGTGACATTCCCCTCATCGAAATCTATTAAAAACTATTAAAAAATATTTCTACTTGTGCTGAAAATAGCCTTCTTTATATAGAGGAGATTTAGGATTCTCCCAACTGAATATTCTGAAAACTTAGCAAAATATTTTTTATTTAGATACTTTCTGTTTACAATAGCAGTAACCAAGCCAAACTAATTTTAATAATAAAATATTAATTGTAATTCTTCGGAAGGAAGAAACACAGGAAGTGACAGTAATAAACAGACAACAGATCTTACAGATAATTTTTGTTCTGAGGAGTGAATGATGTACTGAGCTGACAGCACTTAACACGTCAACAGTTAAGAGATTTGCACATATTTTTTCTTCAGATTTTATATACTTGTAGTCTAATCTATAAACTTCTCAGAGTACAATGGGGCTATAGGATGCTACTTGTCTTACATGAAGTTCTAAGGACAACTGGAAGTAAACAGCATCGTTCACTCTGGGGAAGACAGGCAGACCATTATAAAGGGGCTCTTCATAAAAGATTCACAATGCCCTTGTAAATGGTCCCTCTTAAGGAAGGGTATTGGGACCTTGATTTTCCAGACATCAACTCTGAGCCTTTGAAAGGTTGTAGTTGGTAAGGACCACTATAATCCACCGGCCATCTTAACAGCACATATCCCAGTGCCTGGGCACCTGCAAATCTATACAAGATTCTCAAAGGAAAGCTAACTAAGAAGCAGAAAAAAACCTCTAATCTCTTATCTACTGGCCACAGGAAACTTCCACACTATTTAACTAAATTAAAATATCTAATCTAAGATGTGTGGAAACACAAGGTTTTTAAAAGTGGAAGTTCCACTAAAAGTGATGCAAAGGTGACCGTGCACCTGTTACACTTATTCAACATAAAGGGAGACAAAATACATTTTAGTTTCCTTTTTTTGGGTCTGTGTTAACATAGCAATATCAATATTAATACAGAAAAATTCACATAATCCACCGTAGTGTACATAAAACGCAATACCTTGTCAGCATGTTGCTGTTTACAAGCGTTAAAGACAATTTCCCTTCAGCATTCAGCTGATGCAAATTGATTTCATCTCGGAAGATATGGAATGACTCTGGGATTTTCAGCTCGTCCAAAATAAATCTTGTCTCAGTAAAGTAGCTGAAATCTTTTCTTGGTATGTTCAACACAGGTAAGCAGAGAACATCAGGAGGACTGACCTGTAACATAGGTGTGTATTTGTGAGAATTGGACCTGTCTTTCAACAGGATGGCATTTTTAACAGAAGCAATTAGAAACAGCCTAGATTTTCTGCTTCAGGTTTCCTCCCCTTCTCTTAGTTAAAAGAAAAAAAAGAAGAGGTATTTCAAGTTTTTTTCCTTCACCTGTCACTGTTTGCCTGCTAGAGAGTACCTGGGAAACCAAGAGAAGAAAAGGATAAGGAATGAAGCACAGGACTGATTTTCTTATGTTATTCAATAAGCCATCTAATAACCACTCATTCATTTTTGTATGGAAATAAATGTTGATTATTTAGTTTTTATAAACTCACTTTCGATAATAACAAAATCATGATCCAGGAAAAATATTTTTACAATTGACTTAACAATAAGATGTCTGTAACAACCTGGAAAAAGTGAATTAAGACCACTCAGTCCAATTTTTCCATTACCTTGTCTAGAAAGTAGGCGTAGGCCAGGGTAGAAATCAGTGAATCCAAATCACAGGGTTTATTCCCAAGAACAACATGGACTTTTTCCAGGCGTTTGCTCCTGTTCTGTAACACAGTAGAAGACAATTGCCATGAGTGGAAATGATGAGAAAAAGTCAAAAGAGAAAAGTTCAAAGGACAAGTTAAATATTAGGCTTTGTACTCAGTTGTAGCATTTTTCACTGCTGGCTGAAGGCATGGACTTCCTGTCCACAGGAGGACATTCCTTGGCTTCAGAGCTTCCAAGAAAGCCAAAAACTAAATTTCACAAGACACCATAGTTTAGAACCCAATGAGGTCTGAATCTGACAGAAGCCCATTTCACAGCAAAGTAACAGATAAGCAGCAACTTCATGTATAAGTGGAAAAGCTTTTCAAAACATTTCGCATATCCATTTAGAAAAACAGTCCAAAAGAGTGTAGAAATATACAAAAAAAAAATACACAGCAAATAATAGGTAGCAAGTTGTAATTTTAATTTTACCTTTTTTTCTTCACTTAGCTGAAATCAGTAAATAGACAAAGTAACCTTTCATCCTGAATCTTCAGAAGCTGAAGTACTATGAGTTTTGAATTGTTCTGACTTAATAAAACTAAGAGCCTTCCAAACAAGAGGAAAAGAGAAGACAAACCCACTGTATGAAAGCAAAGTATTGAAGGCAAGGATCTACCTTCTTCATAATTACACACACAAAATATAAGACTAAGTTTTTCTCTTGTGCACATCATTGTTGTCAAGCTAGCTGCATGGAAACATTACAGTTTATTTACTTTCAGTGCTTCTTAATTGGTGAAACATATGTCTTTAACTAATGCTAAGAGATGTTTCAGAAACAAACACATGACAGTAAACAAGCTGATGTACTTTCTGCTATTTTTAATTGGAATTTTGGGTGTCAAAATTTTAATCTTTCAACAGAAGCATATAATTATTACATTACCCTTAATAATTATAAATGTGCAATTTTTCTTAAGCTAACCTTTTTTCTGTATGTCTAGTCTTAGGTCTACGTGGACATAAGGAATAAACTTAGGTTCTCTTTCTCTTAAGGGACCACAGCCATCAATATACATGTGGGTAATAAATCCAGGAGACAGTCTCCATTCCCTATATTCCCCCCATTCTCAGGAAAGACAGCTTACTGAAGAATACAATGACTGGAAGAGATACATGCATTTATGCTCTAAGTCTTCACTAGTAACAAACTGTCTTCATTAACTCTTTTCAATATAATTTTTGTAATATGTTCTTCTGCAGCATGCATTTCTGCTTGATTTGCCATGATAAAGAACGAAAATAAATCTCAGGAGCTCATCCTTTTTTTAGTACCCTCTCAGTAAAGAATTTCTTCATAATACCTAATCTAAACCTGCCCTTTTCCAGTTTAAGGCCATTCACACTTGTCCTATCACTGTGCATCCTTGTCAGAAATCCCTCTCCGCTTTCCTGTATTTCCCCTTTAGGAAGTGGAATACAGCTCTAAGGTCTTACTCCAGTCATCTCCAGGCTGAACATTCCCATCTCCCTGAGCCTGTCTTCCTAGGAGAGCTGCTCCAGTGCCGTGATTGATTTAATGGATCTCCTGCGGACTCCAACAGGTCCATGTCCATCCTGTGCTGGGACCCCAGAGCTGATGCAGCCCTGCAGGTGGGCTCTCAGCAGAGCAGAGCAGAGGGGCAGAATCCCCTCCCTGGCCCTGCTGCCCACCCTGCTTTGGATGCAGCCCAGGGCACGTTTGGCTTTCTGGGATGTAGACACACATTCCAGGTTATAATGAATTTTTTCTCCACTAACACTCACAAGTCCTTCTCCTGAGGGCTGCTCTCAGTCCCTCTCCACCCAGTTTGTGTTTGTGTTTGTGCTTGGCATTGCCCTGGCCCAGGTGCAGCACCTTGCATCTGGCCTTGTGGTTCATTAGGTTCACCCAAGCCCAACTCTCAAGCCTGTCAAGGTCCCTCTGTGGTAGTGACACCAACTAGCAATACCTTTCTCCCCTTTCCTGCTTTTCTCTTCACTGAGCTGAATTTGTTTCCCTTCTCCTTCCCCTCTTGCAGAACCAAGATACATGATTTCACAAATATTTCATTTCCCCATGTGCAGCTAAATGGCTTTTTAGCATCTTACTATTATTTAGTAATAATAACGCTCCAACTACTCTCCATTATACATTGTCCATAAATGAAACCCTGAAGTATGCCATCCAAGCATACTGCTTATCTTCAACCATCTCAGATACAACTAGTTTGCTTAGTCTTCTGCATGCTAATCAGCCATCTTCAGGAAAAGCAGGCACACGGATGTAAGACTTCCTCTCACAGGTCTTTCCAAGCAAAAACCTGGGCAGAGAAGACCACAATCCAGAAGACAAAGATGCATAAGCCCAATAAGGCTTAGCTACAATAGGACTAAAATTTGATTGCTCCTGCAGTTATCACAGCTAAACCTGACAGGAAACATGAACTAAGAATTAAAAAAATGTGGACCTTAATGATGAAGCTAGAACTCTTAAATCAAACTACACAGGAGATCAGCGATTTCTCTTCATGATAATGAGTTTTTGTTTAGCTAGACTAAAGGTAAATTGTAAAATGGACAAACACTGGATGACTGGGATAGAATGAATTAAAGAAATTATGTGTCATTTTCAGATGGCATCAGTCAGGATAATGCAATTTAGATCAGACCTGCGTAGCTTAACCTTCACTTACTCTGCTCAGGAAAGAGATTTATAAACATTAGTCTACTTCTGTAAGAGATCTGATTCTCAGATATTTACTATGAAAAAGCTCTCACACCTGTTTTGTTTTGTGGTCTATTAATACATAAAAGTATTAGTATGACAACTGCATCTTTATGTAACTGCAGTAAAAATACCATTTACTGGTTCCCATCTGTATCAAACAGCTGATATATCAAACACACTGCAATACTGCCAATCGGATTTGTAAATATTTTGAGCAGGACATGTTAACTCCAGTGATTGATCAAACTAGAATAATCCAGTCAAAAATTACACTGTCTCTACTTTTTTTTCTTCTGTTAATAGAGAAGCTGAAGTGATCTTGCAAGGTAATAAAACACTGAAGACTCATCCTAGTATAAACAAGAATGCCTACAAAATGCTCAATGTAGCATTTTGTAGCAAAAAAAAACCTTTTCCATTTCCTCCATACGCATTCACCCCCCCCACATACACACTGCACAAATACACATCCAGCAGCCACACACACACAGCCTTGCTTTCTGAGTCATTATTTGCTTTTTGCCTCAAATTTCACTAGTTCTGTCCTTAAACTGTAATGAATTCACTGCATTTTACTGCATGGAATGGGACAGCACTTGTCAAGCACAGCAATTCTTTGAAGAAGAAACAACGGCTTAACACAAGCAAATTAAAAACAAAGAAGCTGCAGAACCACACAGCAATATACAGTGTCAGATACAACACTGAAAACTTTTGCAGCCTTGTTGCTGAAGCACCAACCAGGGGGTACAAGCTTCACAGATACAGCCTTCCTGGAAGTGCACAGGGGAAATCCTAACTGTTTGGACAAAGGCCAAGATAGCAAAAAATCTGTCTTTCAATATTTGAAGTAATCAAATCACATGGAAGAGGATTTCTGTACCTAAAATTCTACCTTCAAACCAGAGGTACAATTTATTGAACAGTTGTTTTGGAGTACAACTTGCATTTACCTTATAGTAACAGGCAGTAATATGCTTCCAGCAGCCTGAGGGCTTTTAACATGATTATACATCTCTGTTGTGAAAGAAATGCTTTTAAGCCAAAGCAAAGTTAATTTAACATTTCATGCAAAGTTCCAGTTAGTTAAATACTTCACAAAGCTTTCACAAGAAAGCTTTGGTCTGGAAAAAAAATAGATGGTCTCTTATTCTAAAAAGAGACATAAGAGAAAATCCTTGTTTTCTCCCATTTTTGAGGTCAGTCAAAAAAATTATTGCATTTCTCTGCCCCTGTAGTATCCCATTTATCATGTAGAGTATATGACACATAGTAATCTAATGTACTAGCTGTTAAATACCTGGTTACACAAGCATTCTTCCCTAAGGAACACAAGTGTAGTCACAGAAATTTCAAGGGTGACATGTTTTAATAATTACCTATTGAATATCCATTGTACAGTCTTGCTTTACTTACAAATATTAAAAAAAAAACCTATTACAGCAAACAACAATACCACTAGCAGAACAAAATATAAAACAAAAGGGGAATTTTCTAATCCCACACCATCTGCTTCTGTGTCAGAGACACAGCCTTACCACTAAGATAAACAAAGGTGGAAGTATCAAAAACTTAACACCATCCTCAGAAATGGCTGGATAGGCACAAAACTTTATCTGATATTTTGCTTTGAATGGGATACAGTAAGACAAGACTATGATTAGTCCACAGCAAAGACTAGGAGAACTTCTTCACACCTTAGGTGTTGTACATATAGCACTTGTACGCATGATTTATCCAGTCATACTTGCACTCTGATGATGAGTGCACTTCCCACAGCAGGTTGAACACAGCCTTATGACTACATCTGCTCTTCTGAAATTAGTATTTTAAAAGCTACATTTAAGAATCAACCTCTTGATAAAAGGAGGAACTTTATTTAATTTTTTATTTTAAAATGTTGCTTTCCAAATTCACAATGTTCCATAGATTTGCAACGTTCCATCAAAATTAATAATGGAAATGAGGCACAGTAGCTATCTGACATGCCAGCCAGGCAAGGAAGTCTTATCTTTAGATTGTTCCTGGAATTTCCACAGGACAGGAACTCTCTTTTCCACTCATTTCTAATCAAGAACTGCATGGTCAGCTATTACTGATGAGAATGTAGTTCAGTATTTCTGCATTACCAACAGGTTCTGACTCAGAATTCTGTATGCAGACAAACTTAACACCATTCAAGAACGAATTCTGAGGAACCACAAACATTTATTCCTTTTCCACTTTTAGTTAATTTTACAGCTTGTAACTGTAGGGAAGTCTGCTCTGCTTGTTTTTGAAATACCTTCTCTCTAGCTTATTACATACATTCATTCACATTGC